CGTGCCGGCCCAGGGCATCCTGGACGCCCTCGTCTGCTTCCCCCCTAAGGTAATTTTGCATTTACCATAATGTAAAAAGCAAATGCAAATTTGGGAGCATTTCCCTGCTTTTCCCATTGTTCCAGCGAGCATTCCTCTATCTGCACATGTGCAAGAAGCTCATTTCTAGTACATTTACGGGCTTTTCTCACTTGTGTGTGAACATTAAATGTGCTTACTGTAAATTCGCAATTAAGGTAATTACGTGTGAAAGCCATTTGAGGAATCAAGGTTTATTTTCCGTTAATTTTTGGAAAGCCTCATTTCCACTTTATTATCGCTTTCTGGCCCACGTGTGATAACGTCCATAGAGTTGGAAAGGACCCAAGGGCCTTCCAATCCATCTCTCTGTTATGCAGTAAAGGGCAGCTGAATGACTCCTGAGTAATGATCATCCAATCTCTGTTTAAACATCTAGTTCTCCTAGCAGTCATGAAGTGGACTACCAACCGTTTCTACTACTTGTCTTTACCATCTTATCTCTCCTCTCCTTCCACAACCAGTTTTTTTTCTTGCTATTGTTCTTGTTCCATTTCCAATCCTCTTTTCCCACACCAATCCTCCACCTTCCCATAGTATTATTATTAATTATTTTATTCATTTACATCCTGCCTTTCTCCTGATACAGGGACTCAAGGTGGCAAACAATTCATTTAAAACAATACAAATTTTAAAAAAATACAAAAACATTCGAAAGTATAAATATAAGATTTTTAAAAACAATCAGTGTATGAAGTTAAAAACATGAAATATTAACATCATTAACCAAATATTAAAATGTATTAAAAGATATACTGTTGTGTGCCTTCAAGTCATTTCTGATGTTTGGTAACCCTGTCACAAGGTTTTCTTGGCAAGATTTGTACAGAGGCAGTTTGCTATTGCCTTCCCCTAAGTCTGAGAGCATGTGACTTGCCTAAGGTCACCCAGTGGATTTCATGGTCTTAAAATCCAAATTGCATGGCATTTAAAAGTCCAACCCTTGTCAGTTTGTGAAAGCCTAAGTACAAAAATGTTTTACCTGTAGGAGACCAAGGATGGAGCCATCCTGGCCTCTCCAGGGAGGGAGAGCCAATGAGAAGGCCTTTTCCTTTGTTCCTACCAAACCTGAGTGGGCGATGGGACAGATATTATTTGTTTCTTTAATTATTGAATTTATATCCTGTCTTTCTCCCAAAAGGGAAAAGAGCCTCTCCAGATGATCTTAGAGCTCTACTGAAGTGTACCTTAACTTTATTTTAAATATATAACAGCTAGTGGAACTTTAAGGAATTGAAAACCCTTCAGGTATATAATGTGAGGAATCTGTAACTACTGATACTACAGGGATCCCTCCATATTTGCTGGGGTAAGGAGTGAAGGACTCCTGTGAATGTGGAAAAACCACAAATAAAAACAACATTATTCATTTTACCATGATCACAGAATCATGCTGGAGGACCTACAAATATTGACTGAAGTGTTTTCTCTAGAAACTTCTAGGTTCTCTAGCACAACTCTAGGATCAACTTGGCATAGAGTTGCACTGGAGGACCTAGAAATTCCTAGTGAGAACATATGAAACAAAACCTCAAATAATCACATCCACAAAAGTCAAAGCTGCAAATGCAGAGAGCAAACTGTATTACTATTTTAAGCATGCATTATGTTTTGTTTTTGTTTGATTTTTTTGCCATCTCCTGACTTCTTTTCCGTTGTTTTTTTTTTTTTTTGGGCTTTTTGTTATGTGTAATTCAATTAGGTAATTTAAAAAAATTATTCCCCTGCTTATTTCTACATTTGTCGAGGTTCATTTAATGCTTCCAAAAATATACAAGATGAAAAACCAAACCACTCTTGTCAATCTATTGTTTCAAGGAGGACAAACAGACTAAAGCTGAGACAGAATGACTTCTAACAGGGTAGGACATACAAGGGGTATCATAAAGTAATAACTATCACCTGGAAGTTATTATGATATATTGATGAAATTTTGTCAGTGTCATCATTGGTCCCTAATTGCATGATGTTGAGAAAATCAGCTCATTGCATCCTTTATTTTTGTTACAGGTTGTGCTAGAAGTGACTAAAGTATAAGATGGAGAAGTATGAGGGGGTATAATAAAGTAATAATTATGGTGTATTGATGATGTCATTATCATCAAGTGACTTTATCTTTTCTCAAAAATGAAAAATCCATTGTAGGGTTGTAGATGTGACAACACAAATGATGTCATTCATGAAGTGGAAGAGTGATTTAAGGCACAATCTACAGACTTCTACAATAACAGTATTTGGAGGGTCGAGAAACACTGGGGGAAATGTGTAAATCTGGATGGTGATTATGTAGAGATAAGTTAACAACTACAAATCAAAACAAACTTTCTGTCAATTTTTTTAAATGCTGATAATTAAAACCTTATGATACCCCCTCATACTCCAGACCTCATTTGGGCTTCTTTCAAAATTCATGACAGCTCTGTTGTAATGCTGTACCTACCATTTTGGGCAACTGGAAGTGGTGTTGTGTCATTCCTACTTACCTATAAGACCTTTTCATGTGGAAGTGGTTATGTTCTGGGTTTTCTGACTTTCAGGCTGGGAGTGTCTTTTTAGCATATTTAAGGAAGTATTTTCCTCTGATTTTTTAAAAAGGGATGTTGGAAATTTGAGGTGGGGTCATTCAGCCCCCAAAGAGCTGCACATGGTTCACAGGCTGTATGATTCCTACCTCTTGTATAGACCAGTGTAATCACCATGGACTAAAAGTGAAGTGAATATAGCAAAGATCTGAAATTCATGCAGCGGTGAAACTGAACTAAGGGGGGTTGCAGACTGCCAGAAATAGTGCAAATTGAGTCCACTTTAAGGGTTAGGGTTAGGGTTAGGGAATCATGGGAACTGTATTTTATTGTGGTACCAGAGCTCTCTGACAGAGAAGGCTCAATGTCTGAGAAAAATGACAATTCCCATGATTCCCTAGCACTAACCCTAACCCTAAAAGTGGACTCAATTTGCACTATTTCTGGGAGTCTGCAACCCCCCTAAGCTACAGACAATATCTGAAATTATGGAAAGGATTACTTTATAATGAATTAAGTGAGCAATAGGGGACATTAAGGACAGAGTGATTTTTATCTTCTATTTCATACTATTAAAATCTGAAGCAACCCATTGAAGTGGATTGGCAGTGGATTCAAACTAAATAGAAGTTCTTTACACATTGGTGCTGTGTATCTTCTGACTTTGGTGCTGTGTGTCTTCAGGTTGTTTCATCCTAAGGTGAACCTATTATGGTGCTTTTTTTGACAGATTTCTCAGAGAGGGTTTGCCATTGCCTTCCTCTAAGGATGAGAGGATGTGACTTGCCCAAGGTCACCCAATGAATTTCCATGGCTGAGTTGGGATTTGAACTCTAGTCTCCTGAGTTGTAGTCCAACACTCAAACCACTATGCCATGCTGGCTCTCTACATAGCATATAGTTAATGGTGGTATTTGCTTCCACAAAGATGTAGAGATAGTCACCAATTCAGTTGGCCTTAAAAGGGAATTTGAGAAGTTCCTAAAGAAGGTTATCAGTGTTTACTAGTCATGATGGCTACATTGGCTATGTACTAGTTGCTGGAGAATACTGGGAGACATCCAATGCTGTCAGGTCCATTTGATTGGCTACTGTGGGAAATGGGTGCTATGCCCTTGAGGACCCCTTATACATGAGGGGTGCTTGACAGATATTCTAATAAACCTGAATAGGTTCAGCTCCTAGTGAAATTGACAGCTCCAACACACAGAGATGACATGTAGATGAGCATTTATTGGACACAATGACTACATCTACATTAGTCACTTGACACTGGAGAAATAGTCAGTTTAACAGAGCATTATTGTAGGATCACTGTTGCTCAGCTTTCCTTCAATATTTATTTTTGATAAATGCCTCTGCTTCAGTTTGGCATTTATCTAGCTGTTAGAGGCTATTATACTGTGACAACCTTCTATTCCATTGTCATAGTATCAGATTCTTGAAGAGGATAATAAGCAGACTTTTCTCTTTTATTTCCCCCCTTTTAAAATGTTAAGGAGAAAAATGACACTGTGGTTCCTTAATTTTAATAACTGATTATAGAGAAAATTACCAGATTTCTTCTCTTAAAAAGACCCTACAACAGAATGGCCTTTGCCTTTCCCTCTCTCTGCAGTCCTATATTAACTTGCCTACAAGTAACTCCTTCTGAATTGTTAGAAACTTTCTGAGTAGGCATATATTGATTAAACTTGGCATATGCTACTACATTTCTGTCAAAGTACACAAGATAGCTTACAACTTAAGGTAATTGCTTACTGTTTAAAAAGATGCAAAAGAATGGAATGGGAAGAAATAAAGAAAATAAGAAAATAAGTACTTTCATGTGATAACTATTTCAAACAGTTTAATAATGGCAAGGTAGAATAACTGTTATAGGCGACAAAACCCTGAAGCATACAGTTTCTGGTGCTGGAGGAATATATAACCATCATGACTAGTAGTAAGTGATAGCCTCATCTTCTATGAATTTGTCCAGTTCCCCACAATATAATTGTATGTCTGATTGCTCCATAGAATCTTGATTTCTAATTAGCTGGGTAGGTAGGGAATAAAGTTTTTCTAGTTCATGGGCAGAGATAACTGACCACAGTAGTTCATGAACTAGTAACCATGCAAGGTCTGGAAACCATGCTCTAAGAGGAGCAGCTTAGGGTATGTTTAGTCTGGGGAAGAGAAAGTTAAGGGGTGACATGTTTACATATTTGAAGGCATGTCATATTGAGGGTGGAGCAGGTTTGTTTTCTGTTGCCCCAGAGCCAAGGGCATGCAACAATGGATTCAAGCTACAAGGAAAACTATTTCACCTAAATAATGAGGAAGAACGTCCTGTTGGTAAGAGCTGTTTGACACTGAAACACACTGCCTTGGAGAGTGATGAAGTCTCCTTCTTTGGAGGTTTTTAATCAGAGGCTGGATGGCCACCTGCCGGGGGTGCTCTGTGTATTGATACATGGTAGGGGGTTGAACTGGATGGCCCTTGGGGAATTACAGTTTATGAGTAACATTAGTACAAAAAAAAAATTATCAAGGATTCTGTATGGTGTGGGATGGAAAGAAGTCAATGTGGAGGTGACACCATGAGTTACTGCATCAGTGATGCCATTGCACTATGTGAGGATGCTCCCGAAGAAGACCTTGAAGCTGTTGCTGGTACAAAATGCAGGAGCTCAACTTCTGACTGGAATATCATATAGACAGTATATAATGCCAGTCTTAAAAGAATTGTACTGGCTACCATTACACCACTGGTCTGAATTCAAGGTGCTTGTAATTACATTTAAAACCCTAAATGGCTTGAGACCTTGATACGTGATGGAGTACCTCTCTGTATATGTGTCTGCCTGAGAACTGAGGTCTTCTGAGGGGATGCTCCTCTGTGTCCCACCAGTGAGGTCAATACACTGTGTTGGGACATGGGAGAGAACCATCTCAGCTGTGGCACCTCAACTGTGGAATGCCCTTGGTGCCAACACTCATTTCATTTAGATGCTGAGTGAACACTTGGTTGTTCATCAGGGCCAGGGGTAGGCAACCTTTCCCCTTTAAGGGCTGAGGGACTTCATCTCCCAGAATCCCAGGAGCTATTGGCCAACATGGGACTATTGGCCAACATGGCTGAGGCTTCTGGGAGCTGAAGTCCCTCGGCCCTTAAAGGGGAAAGGTTGCCTACCCCTGATCAGGGCTTTGGGGCTTCATTAATTCACTTCAAATACTTATGTACAAAGTCTTTAAAATGTTTTTGTCTGTTTTTAACTCATTATTGTGTTAAATATTTTAGCTTATTTGAATTATTTTTAGACTTTTAAACTGTTTAAGCTCTTTTAAAAAAATGTTATTTGTAAGCTGCCCTGATATGTTTTTGATATAGGGTAGGGTAGAAATATTTTGAAGAGGATGAGGAGTTAAAAAAAGGAGAGTTTTGCAAATTTATTCCAAATATGCTTGAAATAATGAAAAATACTGGGTTCCCCCGCCCCTAGACCCTCTCCTCCCCAAGAACACCAGTGCAGAAGTCCTGAAAATTCAAGGTACCACTAAATTTCAGAACTAGGTGCTACCAAAATTTGATTGGGAATGGCTTCCATAAAAGACATGAATATACTCACAGCATCCTGATGAGACAAAGAGGACTATGAGGGACACAATGCTTCCCAGAAGTGTTGCATTTCTGACCGCTTAATCTCAGGGATTTTTTTCCTGAAGTTCAGAGAGTCTTCCATTATTCGTCATTGAGTGTTTCAGATGAATGTAATAAATGATCATGGTAAAAGTCTTTTAAAACAAAATCCGACACCCCCTTCCCCCACCCGCTTTTACATAAATAAATCTGCAGGCCTTGCATTTTTCACCATCTGGCCCGCAGTGTGAAATGACATTAGTAGCATGTCAGGTTTATTCTGTTATTGAAAAAGGGGGAGAAAGAAACACAGAAAGAAAAATACATAATCCTAATCTACAGTATGAAGAGTATTAAAATGAAACATCTGCCCTACAGAAAAAGTGTAGATGAACTCTGTAGTCAGCAAGCTGCTGGGCTTTGTCAAGTACATGTTTACATTGCTGAGGGCTGTAAATTTTCAGGATGGTGACAAGGCCTCTAAAATATCTTATTCAAATGTTTTTAAACACATGGCTCCTTTTTTTTTTTACCTTGTCAGCTTTTTCTTCTTCTTCTTCTGAAGTTAACTTTCTTTGTATAAGGGACAGAGATGATCATGATCAGATGGAAGATGCAGTCACTCAAGTGACTCTTAAAAGTCCCAAAATAAACTGCCATTGAGATAAAATGGTAGTTAAACAATAAAGAAGCTGATTGTGCAATAGTTCCATGACTCCATTTCAACTATAAACAAAGTATGATTTGGTTTTAAATGAACAACATTGCTTTCCCTATAAAATGTGTTGCACTGTAATGCCAAATGCAAAACTGCACTTGCTGAGAAGATCAAACAGTTGACTCATCAAAAACCTTCTTACAAATAGTAAGGTGCGTAGGAAGGGGACTTCTATATTTTACAAAATATATGATCATCCCATAAAATATTCTGTTTTGTAAGCTCTTTGCTTCCAGTTCAGGGTGACCAGATATCATAACCACAAAGGAGGACAACGCACAACAAAATGTAAGACAGTTAAGAAAAATGTAGGCCATTACCAAATAAAAGCTAAAAAAAACTAATATAAATATAAATTCATGCTGCTTAAGCTCAGAATGAAGGACATTTTAGAATTCCTCCTGGACAGAAGGTGGAAATGTGGAGTTCTTCTGAGTGGTCCGACGAACTCTACTATATTGTCAAGAAGAAGATGCAGGTCACTCAACAGCCTGCTGTGATGAATTTGCAAAGCACTTTGCTAATAACACTCAGATTTGTTGATTCCATCCCAGAGGATGTCTCTGCTTGTCCTGGTATGATGAATTCTTTTCAGTTTGTAGAGCCTGAGGATGTAGACAGGATCCTTGGAAAGGTGAGAGTTCATAGATCCTTGTCCTTCCTGACTCCTTTAAAAGGCTGAGTGGGTTAAAGGGGTAGTCAGGGTTTCAACTTGCCAGGGTTTCAACAATAAACCAGGGTTTCAACATACCTAAAGGACAAAATGTTAAGGTTTTTGTTGAAAAAAGCCATCCCTGAATACTTCTGTAATGGATACCTATCAGCCTGTGTCCAATATTTCATTGTTAGACAAGCAAATAGAATATGTGATTGTCTTCCTGCTCCAGATATTCCTAGATGAAACAGATCAGCTTAATCCATGTCAGACTGGTTTCATTGGTTATGTAACAGAAACAGTTTTAGTGGATGACCTTCTTCAGTAACTGAACAGGGAGTGTGTCCCTTTTGATTCTGTAGGACCTATCAATAACTTTTGATACCATTGACCATGGTATCCTTCTGGGATGCCTTGTTGGGATAGGACTTGGAGAAACTGCTTTACAGTGGCCTGGTGTATGCTTGTCTAACAATGAAATACAATACAATTGGCGCTATTGGAATAGAGGAATAGTATGATCCCTGTAACCAGCCCCAGTTAGCACTGTAGCTGCAGCTCTTTACACCAAGCAAAGTTTCAGAATAGTCTTCAAAGATAGATCCACATACATGGCATTACAATCCAGCTTTACATGTGCAAAACCACTCCTGGCCACTGCAGAAACCTGAACCTCCAGGTTAAAGGCTGAGTCCAGGAGTAAACCCAAACTGCAAGTCTGAGGGGGGAAGCAGACTGGTGGCACGGGGCCGCCCTGGGAAGGTGCGCCGCGGGGCCGAGGCATCCCCACGCCTCGATCCTGCGGCGCACCTTCCCCGTCCCTGAAAGGAGTGCTAACTGCCCATGCCCATTGTGATGTCATTAACTTGAAGGTATATGTTGTTACCA